GGAGTGGAACACCAGCCCCATATTGGCGATCTCTAATCTAGCCCAACATCCTTGTTTTACAAATGAGGAATCCGAGGCCCGGAAAGGGGAAGTGAGTTCTCTGTAGTCACATAGCGAATTGGTGGGAGAACCAGCCAGACTCTTAGTCTCCTGATATCACAACCACTTCCCCTTCCACCATGTCACACGTCGGGGCCAGAAGGAGCCTCAGACAGCATTTAGATCACTTCCTCACGTTGTAGTCGATGAAACCAAGGACCAGCATGGGAAAGTGGTTTGTTCAAAGGCACCCAGCAAGTTAGTGGCAGAGCTGGGATTTGAACTCAGGTCTTTGTACTCTTCGTCTGTAAAAAAATTTTTTCACTTAATGGAGAAAGTAAAACAATATTGCCTATGGCAGAGGTCCTGGTGGCTAAAGAGCCTTATGTTTTGATCTCCCCCAAGAACACTTAAGATTATTTTCTCTCTTTTGCTGGGAAGTGACCCTCCCTTTAGCAACAGAGAGGCCAAAGGAAAGCCAGGCCCTGGGGCAGAGTTGGAATACTTTGTTGAAGACCTACTATGTGTCAGACACTGTATAAGCATGAACACAGATTAGGCCAATGTGGTTTTCTCCACAGTCGTGTCCTCCTCCCATTTTATAGATAAAGAGACTGAGGCTCAGAGGTTAAATGATTGGACACGGCCAGAGCCTGGATTCTGACCGCAGCCATCTGATCCCAACCTGCATGTTCTTTGCACTCGGCCACCCCACTGGGCCTCGAGAATGGCCCTTGTGGGACTTTGCTCAGATAAGCATCCGCTTACCATGTGCCTGAGCAGTTAGGGAAACAGACCCACGGATGGATCCTGACGGACCGACTTGAGAACAAAGGGGCGCAGGCAGGGGCCTGGGAGCCAGGCAAGGAGGCCAGGCCAAGGGCAGGGCCCCAGCGGGCGGGAACCGGCGGACTCTACACATCTGTGGAGCTCTCCCACCGACGCCGAGTCAAGGCCTGCTCCCTCTGTGGGCTGAGTCCATCTTTAATCCAAATATTTTTCCTGTGGGAGCAGCCGGCTAGGCCAGCGGGGTCCGGGCTTCCAGGGAGCCCGACTGAGAGCTGGTGTTAGAGCTGCTCGCCCACTCCCCCTCAGGGGCGGGGGGGGCCGGACCTTCCCTGTGCCCAGCCCCCTCCACCCTGGAGAACTGCCATTTGCGGGGCCCCTCCTCTGTGCCGGGCACTGGGCGGCTATGACGGACCACAGACTGGCTGGCTCACAGACAACAGGGGCTGTTGCTCACGGTTCCAGAGTCTGGAAGTCCAAGGCCAAGGGCCTGGCAAATTTGGTGCCTGGCGAGGGCCCACTTCCTGGTCACAGACAGCCGTCTCCTCGCTGTGTCCTCACACATTGGAAAAGTGAGAGACTCTCTGGGGTCCATTAAAAAAAAATTTTTTTTAAATTGATTTCAGAGAGGAAGGGAAGAGAGACAGAAGCATCAATGATGAGAAAGAATCATTGATCGGCTGCCTCCTGCACACCCTCTACTGAGGATCGAGCCCACAACCCGGGCATGTACCCCAACCGGAAAAATTGAACTGTGACCTCCTAGTTCCTAGGTCGACGCTCAACCACTGAGCCACGCCAGCCGGGCTGCGGTCCCTTTTATTAGGGTACAAATCCCACTCCTGGGGTCTCCAGATTGGAATCACCTCCCAGAGGCCCCACCTCGAACACCATCACTTTGGGGGTGAGGTTTCAACATATGCATTTGGGGGGGCACCGTCTATAGCAGATATTTGCTTACTCTCGCAGTATCCCAATCAGGGGGTACCATTATTCCATCAGCAGCCGAGGAAACGAGGCTCCTGCAGGCTGCCCAGGGCCACGGAGGTTATAAGCCAGGAGACAGTCGCTTCAGCCGGTCCTTGTCTGTCCCCAGAGCCTGTGCTCCGTCCACCAGACCAGAAATCAGTCATCAAAAATGAATGCTCATCCGAAAACCTGAGCTAAGCAGAGGGCCCGAGGGAAAGCTGTGGTTACCTGACACTTTTGGTCTCAGCCCTTCCTGACAGTCTACTGCCTCTCAGTTCCATTTCCTGCCAGAATAAGGGGCCGTGGATGGTCCGAGAAACCCAAGCAGTCAGCTCTTCCCCTCCCCGCCAGGAGATGGAGGGGGTGGAGGAGCCTGGGCTGGGGGAGACTGCCACCAGGCCTGCCTCCTCCTCCTGTCAGCATAGAGCAGTGTCATTTTCAAGGAAGACAGGAAGTAATTCCTCGTTCATTCTTGGAAATGGAAGGCAGAGATCGGGATTTGTTGTTGGGGTTCTTCTTCATTAGGGGGCTCTGTACTCTCAAGACCCGCGAGGGCCATCCTCAAGGCGGGGCCGGGCTCCTTTTACACGGAGAGAGGGGGATGAGCCTGGCCTCTGCCATCAGGCCATCTCCCATGCCTCTGCCATCAGACTATTGGGGTTCAAGTTCTGGCTCTTCACTTACGAGCTGGCGGGTCTGAGGCAAGTTGCATTGGTTCTCTGTGCTTCTGCACAGAGATGAGAGTAGTGCTGGTCACACAGGGTTGTGTTGTGGATTCCAAGACACAACCATGGAAAGCACGGTGCCCGGCACACGGTAAGTGCTCCCCAAATGCCAACACTGTGTGACAGCTTTTCACTTCCGAGAGGCCTCTGCTCAGGCAGGCAGGCCCCAGCATCTCGGGGTTATGGAAGGGAGCTGGGGGTCCTCCAGGTGAACCCCTCCTTTCTAAGGTCCCAACGTGCCATGGAGGTTAGCACAGCCCAACAGGGCCATCCCATCAGGGACAGCGACCCCCTGATCACTCACTGGTCTGCCTCTTCTTCGCCAGGCGCTGACATCAACACGCAGGCCAGCGACAGTGCGTCGGCCCTCTACGAGGCCTGCAAGAACGAGCACCAGCTGGTGGTGGAGTTTCTGCTGTCGCAGGGCGCCGACGCCAACAAGGCCAACAAGGACGGCATGCTCCCGCTTCACGTCGCCTCCAAGAAGGGCAACTACAGGTCAGCCCCGGCCCGGCCACCCCCCCCACCCCCCGCAACCCACACTGGGGGTTAGTGGGGGGCTCCGAATGTCCCGCCCACAGGATGAGGAAGGCTCGGTCAGAGAGGAGGGCACCTTTGGAGGATGAGAGGAAAAGCGCTCAGCAGCTGGCCAGCTAGGGCGAATGCCCACCGCAACAGCAATGACAGTAATGAAGCAAACACTAGCTCTGACCGCCACTTCCCATTAGGAACTAATTTAATCCTTTTGATAATTCCACTTTCAATGATCCTTTTAACAAATCTACCGGGGTAGATACTGTTATCTCTGTTTTCCAAATGGGGAAGCTGAGACACAGAGAGGTTGAGCGATTTGCCCAAAGTCACACAGCCTATAGATGGTAGGAATTCACCCATCCCCAATGTCACATCTATAGGAATTCCACTCAAGGCACCAGATATGCATCTAGACTTGAGGTTATTTCTGGTGAGGATGCAAAACCAACCTTTAAGGCAATAAGCCAGCATGCAATATGCCTACAATAATACCAATAGTACCAGTGATAATAGCTAAACCTTATTGATCACTTACTATGTGTGGGTACTTTGAGCAAGAAGAGAGAAGCTTACTTCTTGGGGAGGGACCTGGTGGGAGGAGAGGTGCACAGGTCTGTACACACATACACACACGAATTCATGGCATAACGAAAGAGCATTCCACAGTGGTCCTCGGGCACACTGGAAGCAGAGCTGTGCTAGAGCTGGTCAGTACCGGCTTGCACGAGCCAACTGTTCAAGTTGAGAGCCTGAAACTGGCCGTGGTGAGAGTATTTACACCACAGCTATTGGTGCATGCTACACATCACAGGCTCCTCCAGGCAATGTAACTGTGTAGCCCAGCAGAGCAGCGATTTTCAGCCTTTCCCATCTCACGACACACATAACTAATTACTAAAGTTCTGCAGCACACCAAAAAATATGTTGTGTTTTTTGCTGATCTGACATTTAAAAATAGGTATGATTTTGATGCATTTACACCGGATGGCTATTGTTGTCTTGGTTTGTTGTCATTTTTCTATTTGACAATCTCAGGGGAAAGAGGTCAGTGCCCCTGACCAAATAGTCAGGTACTGCATGTTTTAAAAGTTCTTGTGGCACACCGGTTGGACGTCGCTGTGGCAGCAAACCAGGATCTTAGCGTCCATTTTGCAGCTGGCATATAACAGAGACATGCATTTTGGACTCACTTTTGACCTCCTTGTTCTTACACTTGATCTTAGCCAAAAGGCTGAGAAGCGATGGACCTCCTTGTTCTTAAATATGCTTTCTGTTTTACTTTTAATTTATATTATCTTTGCAAGCCATTGAAACTCTAAGAAAAGGCAGAATGGAGGACATTTAGTAAATTAAATTAAAGTGTAGCTAATAAAACACACTCACAAGCCAGTTGGAGTCCCCATGAACTGCAAGGGAAACCGAGGCTCAGAACTCACAGCCTCACAGGAAATGAGAGGGGAGAGCGTGCGCACAGGCCTCATTCCCCACCCCGCCCCTGCAGGAAGCTGGTTGGCTGCCTGTGTCTCCTGCGGGAAATGGCGAGGGTTGGCGTCCGTGTGTCTCAGGTGCAGGCCAGGGTCACCTGCAGCAGACTCCCAGGTCCCTCCGTCCTGCTGGATCAGGCCCTGGACAGCGGGGCCCGGGACTATGCATTTCCAGCGGTTCCCTGAGTGATCCCGAGTCGCACTGTGAGGAGAACTGGCAGTGTGCGTGCTCAGCCAGCTCCACTGTGTACCTGCCCTTCCTCCTTCACGGAGGACCTGCTTCCTGCTGCAGCTCCCAGCAGCCCCCGGAAACGCGGCCACTCCTGGGCGGGGGCCCGCTGTGCCCTGGGAACCCTCAGGCAGATGCTCCACTGGCGGACCTTTGCTGGCTCCCACATGAGCATCACATGGGCTCAAGGACACACACTGACACACACTAACTCACGCTCACACACACACACACACACACATACACATACGCACACACTCACTCACTCACTCACACTCACTCACACACTCACACTCACTCATTCACACACTCATACACTCATTCACTCACTCACACACTCACTCATACACACACTCACACTCACACACACACACTCACTCACACACTCACACACACACACACACACACACACACCCACTCACACACACACTCACACTCACACACACACACACATAGACACACACTCACACACACTCTCACACACACACACACACTCACACGGCAGAGCTCACACAGTGCAGCTCAGTGGTATTGGCCGCGGAGCCGTCTGTGGGCGGCTGGTTCCTTTGTGAAAGTCTAGTTCACAGTCAAAGTTACCCTGATCACTGACAAAGGTCACAGCACCGTGACCTGGTGACCCAGAACGCCTCCAGGTCTTGAGCAGCAGGGCAGTGTGCTACCATCGCCCTGGTGGCCAAGATGCCAACAGCTACCATTTATTGAGTGCCTACTAGGCGCAGCTCAGCTTAACGTGTAGGATCTCATTTTATGCTCAACAGCAATCTCAGTGAAAGCATTACTACATTGTGTTTTGTAACCTGGGCAGAGCAGTCGACCTTGCTGACTGGTTACGGAGAGAGAATGAGATCAGCTCACAGGATCAGTTCCAGAGGGGCAGGGAACTGGGCCTCAGACACCGAGGGTCCTATTGGGCAGTGGTCACCTTTGTTCCTCTTCATAAGGTGCACTTTGAGCAGCAAGCCCTCTGTGGTCCCAGGACCTGCCCATGGGAGAAGGGGGAAGGCCCCGGCCTGTCCTCCCGCCCACAGAGGCGCTTGGAGAGGGAGGTGATGGTATGGATGGATATGCAGTGGGGACACCACCATGGCCACTCCCCTGTGTTAGGGGGACTGGGGCATCATGGAAAGGTCTGGCCTTGGACATACATACATTCTGGCCTGGCTTTGCTGTCCACCTCCCGTCCAACCTCACTCTTATTCCCATCCCACACCCGTGCCTCAGTTTCACCCTCTGTAAAATGGGACAGCTGGACACACTGATCTCCAGACCTGTCCAGCATCACACACTCAGATTGGCAAAGTCCTACAGAGGTGGATAATAAGATGGTATCGCTACGTCGTTAAGACGGTGCTTTGGGAATCTAGGCAGCGTCCAGTCATGTTCCCACATTTCGGCCCTTTGAGGGATCGCTCGAGACCAGCTGTGACCTGCCAGAGATACCAGCCCCCTCTGGCGGGCGGCCCTGGGCAGTCCCTCTCGCTGTCCTTTCCCGAGATTGGGCAGGTTACGGCTGTTATCGAGCATTTGTTGCCAATGGCCTCAGTCCAGGGTGAGGCCCCAGCCCTGCCTTGGACCAGCACCTCTACAGAGCAAGGTCAGGCCTCCTGTGCCTGCACAAATAGAAATTAGGAGGCAATTAGTCCCCCTGATGTGTGAATTTCCTTTTGAGGTTTTAGGCGCAGATTTTAGGTAAATAAAGTGTTACTAACAATAATAACATTTTCCACTGAGACCCTAGCGGAGGTTGCTGGCATCAGAGTTCCAGGAAGCAGGGAAATCAACGTGCCAGGAGGCAGAGAGGCGTGGGAACGGGCCTGCTGGCACCGCCTTGCCCTGCCATGGCCACCTCCTTGGAGCCCACATGGGCCGTGAGGTCACCAGTCATCAAGGATTAGACGGATTGGGGTCTGGAATCATGACAGAAGCTTGTTCCTGCAGGTGGCAAGGGTCCAGGGGAAGATAGCAGAGACAAGAGGTCAAGAGCGCTGGGGCCAAGCCCCCAGAACTGCTTTACGACCCTTGATTAGTCCCTTCATTTCTCTGAGCCACATCAGTCAAAAGGGAGCCACAGACCTGCTCTGGCCACCCCGCAGGGCTGCAGGGAAGGTGAAACAGGACAGGCAAGTAATGCATCATGAAGCAGGCGAAGCCCCACGACATACCTGCTACACAAAAAATAAGGGGGTGGTTCAGAGTGTGGCCCTCTCTCTAGGGCAGTGGTTCTCAACCTTCCTAATGCCACGACCCTTTAATACAGTTCCTCATGTTGTGGTGACCCCCAATTTCATTGTTACAAATTGAACATAACTATAGCATAGTGATTAATCACAAAAACAAGATGTCATTATATATGTGTTTTCTGATGGTCTTAGGCGATCCCTGTGAAAGGGTCTTTCGACCCCCAAAGGGGTCGCGACACACAGGTTGAGAACCGCTGCTCTAGGGGGAATGGGACTACCTGCATTCAAATCCCGGTGCCGTCACTTACTGGCTGTGCATTCTTGGGCAAGTCACATACCCTCTCTGGGCTTCTGTTTCCTCCTCTGTAAAGGAGGATAATACTAGTACCCACCTCATAGGGCTATTGGGAGGGTGTAACAGATTAATGCAGGGCAAGTGCTGAAGGCAGTGCTGATAGTACTAGTAGTTAGTACACGTTGGTGGCAGTGACGTGCTGATTCAGCGGGAGAGAGCTGCCCAGGGATCTCCAGCCTCAGCAGGGGCTGACCAACCCACCCCAGGCCACAGGCAGAGCAGAGAGCCTGGGAGAGGCAAGTCAGACTTCAGCATTAGAGGCATTGAGACTTACAGGACAGGGGGCACCCTGTCCACCTCATGGCCACCCAGCTCCACCGCTTACTGGCTATGTGACTTTGGGAGGGTGGTTGAAGCTCTCTGAGACTCAGTTTCCCTCTCTGTGAAGTGGGAATAGCAGTAGACCCACCCTTCCAAAAGGGGTAACTGTGAAGGCTGGCCGGCTCCTCAGCGCCGCCTGCTGGTAGGTCCGCGCCTCCCTACATAGAGTAGTTGTGCGTGGCCGAGCCTGGTCCCTCAGCGCCCCCTGCTGGTAGGCCCGCGCCTCCCTACATAGAGTAGCTGTGAGTGGCCGCGCCTGGTCCCTCAGCGCCCCCTGCTGGACCGTGACCCGCGCGCGCGCTCCGCCTTGCAGGATCGTGCAGATGCTGCTGCCGGTGACCAGCCGCAC